GTGTGGACGCTTGCTGAGCTCTGAGTGTGAGGACTCTTTCTTGTGCAGTGCGTTTTACAATGATAAATGTGCCAGGACGACTTTGCTTGCACTTTACTGATCAACACCAAGGTACTTGAAAACGGCTTTCGTCCAAAGTTCCTTCAGCACAACCACCGATTGCAGGCTGTTTTAAGTGCAAAGTGATTCATTTCAGCTGGGTTGCTATAGGCGTTTGCTTTTATTTTGTGATCTTTTCGAGGAGGCACAAATAACCTAATGAATAAAACGTTGTTTTTGGAATTGTAATGAAATGTACGTCCTGTGTAAGGAGTCACATTTGAGGCCTTTGTATTAAGACTAGGCTATATATATATAATATAATTCAATGTGTCTTTACGACTTTGCGTTGGAAATGGGGTAATAAAAATGGGATATGAATACAGGCGTTTGTTTATTTATTTATATATTTATTGTTTGAATGCCTATTGAATGGTTGTATATGCATGACATTCCGTTCAGCTTATTTTGGCTATATTTATTTGCTACCCAGTCCTGAAACTTGACTCTCCTTATAGTTATAGTTGGGCAGACCAGAACAGACAATTAAAGCGCCCTGCGTACACAGCTCTTAAAACCTGTCAGGCATTGACTGAATTACTTTACTTCAACTATAATTGTCCTGTTATACGGCAATTTGGCGTCACTAGTGAATGCAGTAGCTTAGACGACTGCATGCAGTAGTGTTTTCTGAAGTACTGTTAGCTTTGTTTTATTCTGGGTAAGCTTAAATATCAAACCCTTATTGCTGGGATGTTCTTATGTCCATTCTTGTACATTTATGATTGTGTCTGTTCATGAACTTAATGGCATATTAAAACAACATTTGCATAACGGTAAAGGTTTATTGCTTCAATTATCTTAATTCATTGATCTAATAAAGTCCTCACTTTGGACTTAAGCATTGAAAAAGCGACAAAGGCATATCACTGTTACTAGCTTGCACATAAACAGACAGGTGTCTCTCCTGACTTCACCCCTCCCTCCCCCAATCACACAGCCCACACAAAGCAGCTGCACTGAGGAGGCTTTTTACCTTCTGTGGAAAAGAAAAAGACGCACAGGAACATCTTCTGTCTTTTTTTTTTTTTTTTAACAAAAACTAAAACTAAAAATCTCTATCTTCAAAGTCATCAGCAATACTGTCCTTCTATTAGGATATGCATTAAATATTAACATGTGATTTAAGCGTCGCAGAAAAGTTAGACCGATTTTGCTTGTCGGTTTGTCTTTTTTCCCTCCCTAAAGTTTTAGTAATCATTCAAATAAACAGAGAGCCGCATTTTTGTGTATAAATCCGTCAGTGGAAAAGGAAACGTTGGTTCCACTTCCAAACAGAGGGTTAATTCGCACAGAAAGAGAAGACTAAGTATATTTTTCATATAGGAGACGATGCATCACGGGGAAGACGAAGCAACATCATATGCATTTGGTATGTTTGGGCTATAATTGTTGAGAATCAAAACTCACTTAGCATGTACATATTATTTGGAATATGTATGTTTAAGTGAACCTTATTGTTTTTTGTGTTGTGAATTCATTCACAATTTTGATTCAAATTATTTAAAAATTAACATTGTATCTAGCAAACGCATCCTTGAGCAGAACACTTTGTCCATTCATTATACAATCATCGCATCATGAGCACTATTTTATTTATTTAGTTAGTTATTCTTTCTTTTTGGTCTTTGTCAGTAATTGTGCTGATATTCATGTTGGTGTATTGCATGCATGTCTCTCTATGCGCCTTTAAGAGTCGTATTCTTGCTTTAAAAAAAACAAATAGCCTACTGAACATCCATGTCTTCGCAAGGTAAAGTGTGAAAATATTAACACTTACCTTGATCTTGGGGTAAAATCCACTTTGCATCGGTACGCTATAATTTACTTCTGCGGCATTGCTGTCGGCTGTCTTGTTCACATACAGGCTTTTGAATGGTCAGAGATGAGGTAGGCTACGGTGCTCACTTTTGATCGTTTCAATAAACTGGCCAAAATAAACCGAAACGCTGCAATACTCCCGTGCGTGAACAACACTGTGGAGAAAATGTGTTGAAGAGACCTACAAGCGCACCTCTGCAACGTCCAAGTCAATTAGAAGGAAATCTCAAAAGCATTAATCAGATTAAAATAGGCGCATGTTACTTTGGTGTATGTGAGAGGCGAGCGACCGATGTAGTTTCCATTTAAGATGGCTCTTCCACCTTAAAGAGCGATATCAGGCAGAAATAATCCAAACGCTAGGGGGCGCCCATATACTGTTGTACGTCCAGTCTTCAGTTTTTCCTCCGAGGCAGCATATGCTGTGATTTAGCACTGTACGTTTTTCAGTGGACCCAACTCCGACAACCCCTGGTGATACAGAAAGTATACTTCAACAAGCGAGCTTTTATGCATTTGGTATGTTTGGGCTATAATTGTTGAGAATCAAAACTCACTTAGCATGTACATATTATTTGGAATATGTATGTTTAAGTGAACCTTATTGTTTTTTGTGTTGTGAATTCATTCACAATTTTGATTCAAATTATTTAAAAATTAACATTGTATCTAGCAAACGCATCCTTGAGCAGAACACTTTGTCCATTCATTATACAATCATCGCATCATGAGCACTATTTTATTTATTTAGTTAGTTATTCTTTCTTTTTGGTCTTTGTCAGTAATTGTGCTGATATTCATGTTGGTGTATTGCATGCATGTCTCTCTATGCGCCTTTAAGAGTCGTATTCTTGCTTTAAAAAAAACAAATAGCCTACTGAACATCCATGTCTTCGCAAGGTAAAGTGTGAAAATATTAACACTTACCTTGATCTTGGGGTAAAATCCACTTTGCATCGGTACGCTATAATTTACTTCTGCGGCATTGCTGTCGGCTGTCTTGTTCACATACAGGCTTTTGAATGGTCAGAGATGAGGTAGGCTACGGTGCTCACTTTTGATCGTTTCAATAAACTGGCCAAAATAAACCGAAACGCTGCAATACTCCCGTGCGTGAACAACACTGTGGAGAAAATGTGTTGAAGAGACCTACAAGCGCACCTCTGCAACGTCCAAGTCAATTAGAAGGAAATCTCAAAAGCATTAATCAGATTAAAATAGGCGCATGTTACTTTGGTGTATGTGAGAGGCGAGCGACCGATGTAGTTTCCATTTAAGATGGCTCTTCCACCTTAAAGAGCGATATCAGGCAGAAATAATCCAAACGCTAGGGGGCGCCCATATACTGTTGTACGTCCAGTCTTCAGTTTTTCCTCCGAGGCAGCATATGCTGTGATTTAGCACTGTACGTTTTTCAGTGGACCCAACTCCGACAACCCCTGGTGATACAGAAAGTATACTTCAACAAGCGAGCTTTTGAAAAAAAAAAAGTGCTCTGACTTCTAACCCGAGGAGCGAAAAGGGAGACACCTCATTTGACCACCCTGGGGCTCCCAGCGAACATCCATGTCAATTAACATAAGACTTCTGGGCTTCTGCTTTCTCAATGAGCATCATTCATCTTATGTTTGCATGATTTTTGAATGTTTTGGGGATTTTTTCTTTTCTTTTCTTAAAAAAAACAACACAAAACAAAACACTGATCCATTCGAGGAAGTTGTGGGATATTTTATTATCTTCACTGAATAATATATCTGTAGCATGCCAAGGCCCTAAAAGCACAAATTCTCTTTTATTATATGAGAACACGCTGATTGCAGTATCTCTGCATTAAAAAAAAACACATTCTGTATTGAGGCCCGTTTGGCCTTCGATATACATAGGGATAAATCACAATGTATTATGATGACAAGTTTACTAAAAAATAATATTCATTACTTTATTGCTAGTATTCATGATTGCAACAAAAGAACATATAGGCTACACAACAGCATATGTGACAATTGGTGCTGATTTCCTAAGTAAGATTGTAAATTGTGTAGATAACAGTATAAACATCAGTAATCATCAGATATCTTTTTTGGGATTTTGAAGGTAAAGCCATTCGACTTAAATTTAAGACCTATACGTAATACGCCAATATAATAGGTATTCTGGACTAATTTATTGGATGGTAGCTATATAAAATCAGACGCAACGTATGTAAGATATTCATGTTCTGCTAAAATTAAACAACTGTAGCCTAATATTCATATATAGCTTGCACACATTCTGACTCTTGTTGTTGTTGTTTTTTATCAATTTTGTAGGATTTATTTTTTCATTATTGCTGGCCAAGTAGAGTTTCGCATACGTCTTTGACATATAACAAATAGGCTGCTCGAACTTTACAACAATAGCCTCTCGCGTAAATTGCATGTTGCCTAGTGAACGGTCTCTGTTTTAAATGTATTTGTCAGTGCATTATTGACTTGATAAATGATATGCAGTTTCATGATTTGAAACGAGGCGTTAATGCGGATAATTGGATTAATGAAAGTGACCAAATCATATACGTTGCGGCCAGTCTATATAAATGTAACAAAAAGGTATGCAATGCATGTAACACACATTGGAAAATCCCAAATCTAAATGACAGAAATATCATTATCACGGAGATATTATTTTTGGGGTCACATTATTTAAAAATTATAACATATATATAGGCCTAGCTATACATTTGCGTAATATTGATTCTTGAAAAGCCCCGGACTTATGTGGCGTGGAAAGCGGCTTTAAAAGATACGGCAATCGTGGATTTTATTTCAAATAAATAAAAAGAATGAACACATGTATTGCGATCATTTTTCTATCGAACTGTGTCCTACTCTCTTTAGGACCAAGCGGCTCCTCGACCCTTTTTCCTGGCTTTGGCAAAGAACCAAGTAGCACAAGTGCCGACTAGCCAATAGGGTTCAGGGGGAGGTCCGTGAGCTCTGACCAGTCAAACACAGTCACTTTCCATATATGGCAACTCATCTCCATGGTAACGTGTGCTAAGTTGCAGCAGTCGTGTCAAAGTTCACTATATAGAGAGCTCAGTGAGCTGATCAGAGAGAAAGCATTCTGCCAGCCCAGCGCCTACAAATCGCAGTCACTTCCTAGCCTCCCCCTTTTTAACATATTTGATCACTTTGATTCTCTGTTCTCTCTCTTATTATTTTTACGCGCACGAAGGAGGTTCTATAGGTTGGGGATCTTTTTGTTTTATTATCAGTCCTGCTTGCCGGAGAGTTGACTTCATATTTGACTCGAGCACAGGCTGCAACTGCGCGCGGCTGCAAGCGCTACCTCGTCTGAAGAAAAGGAAGAAGCGGCAATATTTTTTTTGCCAGTTGGTTTTCTTCAAGACTTTACGCTGGAACTTCTCGCGTGTCGCAAGTAGGCGATCTTTGAAAGCTGCGTGTTTCTGCGCGTCCGAACATCGCTACACACGCGAAGTTCTCTGTCCTGCTCTGTTCATATCTTCTTCCGCCGTGTTTATTTCCCATTATTTCCTTGATGGGTTTACTGGATGGATGACTGCAAGTGCCCCTGGACTTGGCCTCTAAAAGCAAGGCTGCTATTCGGCTTGTCTTTGCTTCAGTTTTAGCCACATGCCAGGTAACGCCGTTTCAGTCAAGAAATAGACTAGCTGCTGTTTGTCGTCGGTGCGCAACTTTGAACGGACATTCAGACTCTAACCCACCGTGCCGATCCTGAATTATTTATTTTACCTTCCTAAGTGATAAAGGCACCGTGCTGCGTTATCGTTTTTTGAAACCAAGCATTCCGAAACCAAAAACGGGGAACAAAAAGTTTTTTCAACGTTGACTGATAGATATGGCAATGGTAGTGTGGAGAGGCTCCCAGGACGATGTGGCCGAGACCCAGGGCACCCTCTCATCGCAAGCCCAAGGAGGACTATCCCTTCCAACCCCTCAACCAGGCCAGCTGGGTCTGACGGCCTCTCAGGTTGCCCCTCCGACCCCTCAGACACCCGTTCAAGGACCCCCGAACAACAACACACAGTCCACCCCGACGAACCAGACGACGCAGAGTCAGTCGGAAAAGCCGCAACCACAGCACATAGAGTGCGTGGTTTGCGGGGACAAATCCAGCGGCAAACACTATGGCCAGTTCACTTGCGAGGGGTGTAAAAGCTTTTTCAAACGGAGCGTACGAAGGAACCTCACTTACACATGCCGTGCCAACAGGAATTGTCCCATTGACCAGCACCATCGCAATCAGTGTCAGTACTGCCGCCTCAAAAAATGCCTCAAAGTTGGCATGAGACGGGAAGGTATTGGGATTTTTGTTGTTTTACTGCTGTCTTTGTCTTTTGTATTTAGCCTGATTGAACCATGAATGCTACGTCCCCCTGTATTGTATCCCCGACTCTTCTCTCTCGGTCTGCCCGAGCACAGCACGCGAAGGAACCGCCTATAGCGCTCGAGTCTGAGCGTTATCACGGCGCCCGTAATGCTCGAATAATGAACACTCACTCTCAAGCGACTATTTCGCATTTTACATGTTCGCAACGTTAAATAGATCACCGCTTTTATTCGGCGGCGAAAACGGGCGTTCGTCTTGATTTTTAATAATATCACTGCAGATATGCCGTGCAGTTATGGCGAGGGAGTATGGAGAGGCAGCGTCAAAATCACATAGCCTACACACACACACACACACACACACACTAGGCTAGGGTCTCCAGATCGACCGCAATCTACATTGCTCCTCTCCGATATAAAAGTAAATAATAATCACTGTTGCGCTTTTGATAGCATTTATTTAAATAAACGTTCCGCCAGACACCCAGTTTGCTCGCAGATTCTCAATAGACAGCAGAACTGACTCTGTCGCTAGCTAAATAGGTTAAGGGTTAGCATTCATGTCTTTCTTTGTGCATGTATTCACTGGACTCATGTTGTCTGCTGTGAAACGTAAACACAAATTATTTGACAAGTACACTAAAATTTAAACATTTGCCAATATCTATTTTTCTGTTAAGTAATACACAGGATTTTACTATAATTATTTTATGTGTATGAAGTGCACGTTGCAGAGCATTTTGTGAGCATATCGTGAACCTAGTTTATTTAATTTTTTTATTTTATTTTTATTTAACTTAACAGTAGAATCATGGAGGCCACATTAATAGTTTAAAAGTTCTGCACGTGTCAAGTGACATAATAATTGATTGCATTAATGCAATTGGTGTAGTTTTCTAAACAAATGGTGTGGTAGCAGCACGCCAAGTGAAGTAGAAACGAGGTCAAGCTATGTTATGTTGTTGTAGAATTCAAGCATCAATATCTACAGTTTCTCTTTTTACTGCAGCAGTGCAAAGGGGACGGATGCCACCCACACAGCCACACCATGGTCAGTTCGCCTTGACAAATGGGGACCCACTGCACTGCCATTCCTACTTATCCGGATATATCTCTCTACTACTACGAGCGGAGCCCTACCCGACTTCTCGGTATGGCAGTCAATGCATGCAGCCCAACAACATCATGGGCATCGAGAACATTTGTGAACTGGCAGCCAGGATGCTGTTTAGTGCGGTAGAGTGGGCCAGGAATATTCCCTTCTTCCCAGACCTCCAAATTACCGACCAGGTTGCCCTTTTGAGGTTGACCTGGAGTGAGTTGTTTGTGCTCAACGCTGCTCAATGCTCCATGCCGCTCCATGTGGCTCCACTTCTGGCGGCGGCTGGGCTCCATGCCTCCCCCATGTCTGCGGACAGAGTGGTCGCCTTTATGGACCACATTAGGATCTTCCAAGAACAAGTAGAAAAGCTCAAAGCTTTGCACGTTGACTCTGCTGAATACAGCTGTTTAAAGGCCATCGTTTTATTCACTTCAGGTAAGTTTTCATTTCCTAAACATCTAGTTTATATTTCAGTGTGTTTGTACAGTAAAGAAACGTGGATTCTTTTAATAAAATCTAGAAAACGGTAGGCCTATGCGTGCTAGTTTTAGCATATTTATCTGTAAACGTAAGTGTAAATATTTTGCAGAGCTCTCTAATAATAATTTCAATGAATAAGTAAAACTAGGGAAATTATTTCTTCTGACTAATATTTTTCTAGTATCGTCAGTATAATAGCCTACAGCAATTATATTTCACGCTTAGGAATTTATTTGAACACTTAAGCTTTTTAAGAATTAAATGGTGATGCAATTAATATTTCGTGAAAGCCAGCAATACATAAAAACGATTATTTATACGCATTCAAAATAATAAGAAAAATAAGTTCCCCCATAGCACCTATATTAGCTACGTAGTCTAGATTTTAAAAAATAAATAATAATAATGTTAATACAAATAATGTGAGAAATTGATCACTGTCTACTTACAAACTATAATCTGTAGCTTTATTCATATTTTGTTGTAGTTTCACAATACATAAACATAATAAGATCTTGAAGGGCAATCAATTATTTGTATTTATTTGCAATGACAGATATTAAGGATGTCATGCTCGAAGGGAGGGGGTGAGGCTGTGTAGGAAAGGGAAGAAAGGCCTAATGCTCCGTTTACACATATCACAGCCCAGCTTTACACTGGAGCCGATAGTTTAAATTGATAGATATATTCACGTTGCGATAAACACTAGTGGCTAGTTTTGTTTAATTGTTCTTTATTGTGGCGCGCGACAAGACATTTTTGTGCGTTGTTAAAAGCTCACAGTTCTTCCTTGTTTTGTTAGGAGGATCTACGGATCCAAGGCACATGCTGGACTCGTTCCAGAACTGGGTCATGACCCTGACTTCCTTTCTTTATTTGTGTATCACAGAGCTAAAGCGAAAAAGTTTTACAGATTTAAAACTTCATGGCGAATATATTCTCTTGGAAATGTATGACTAGAAAAGCTTTAGTAGCCTACCAGTTGCACAATAAAGATTGCCCCAGAATGCAAATATTCTGTATTGCTTCCTTTGCAGATAATGCTTCCTATACAACAATAACATATAAATACAAAACTTTAAAGAAGACATATTAATGGAACGGTTGTTAACATTACACCTTTAAAAGTTCACGTAATGCAGGGCAGCATTTTGCAATCACCTTATTGATTTAAAGTCGTATACCACCTCTTGTGGATATTTTGCTCTTTGAGTCTGCTGTCGATCTTTAAAAAAAACGTCTTTCAATATGATTTAAAAGTTTAGGATTAAATGGTGTGTTGGTTCTATAAATGTTTTTAAAAATAATAATAATAACACCAATACAGTATAGTACGCTTGCACTTTAACTTGTTATTTCTTAACATTATTTATATATATATATATTGTCCTGTTTATCATTTTGCCATAATAGTTTGACCCACATGCTGTTAAATGGTCCTTTTTATGGGGATAACTTGGGTCACGATTCAAAAGGGTTAGAACAACGCATACGCTGGAATGTTTACTCAGTTAGCTCTCTTTTATAAAATACGTAGGCCTACCAGCAGAACTGCAGCGTATAAACGATTTATGTATCTGGTATGAATTTGAACGTAAAAGCTCAAGTTAACTCGTATGGCGCGTATGATTTTCAGAAAGCGATGTTTTGTGCATTGCGTTATTAGGCTACATGCTGTAGGATATTGTGATGTACAGTGTGTATATACTGATGTAATAGCAATGTTCAGTGAAATAGTATGTGTTACTGTAGTGTGCCTTGTCGTTGTGTAAATGGATGGCCCATGTGTATAGTTGATGTAATAAACATTTGATTATCTCTCCATTCCTTATAGATGCTTGTGGCCTGTCAGATGTGGCCCATGTGGAAAGTTTGCAAGAGAAGTCCCAGTGCGCTCTGGAGGAGTATGTTCGGAGCCAGTATCCCAACCAGCCAACTCGATTTGGGAAGTTATTACTGCGCTTGCCCTCTCTCCGTACAGTCTCGTCTTCGGTCATAGAGCAATTATTTTTCGTCCGATTGGTAGGTAAAACCCCAATTGAAACCCTCATCAGGGATATGTTGCTGTCGGGGAGCAGTTTTAACTGGCCTTACATGTCAATTCAGTAGGCAGAAGCAATGATCAAAGGGGCTGTGACTACAATAGTTAGCGCTTCTTTTGTAGAAGGAAACGGCTGTTACACGAGTTTACTTTCACGAAGAAAGACTTTCATACAATGACTGTGAATTTTAAAATTGAGACATTCAGTGAAGCCTCGAAATCCAGAGATTGCTCCCAGTGTCATTCTGAACAGTTTGTTCTAATGTTTTTTGTTTGTTTGTTGTTTTTGTAATAAATGCAAAAATGAAGAAAGAAATAAATAACCCATTAAAATTAATACAAAAGGGAAAAAGGCAAGAGAAAAATAATTCAAGGAGTTTCATAATCGTTTCTGGGACAGCAAAACTATAAAGTGCATTTAAGCGACAATTTGGAAATACTAAGAAGAGAAGAAAAAAGTAATTTTTTTCCAAATTGCTTTATTGTCCTGTGTCCATGTATCTATAGCTGTTTTTGTAATTTTTGTTCCTCCTTTCTGGTTCCAAACCGGCCTATGTGATTCTGTAGTATGCAGTTGGTGTTTTTTTTCTTTTTAAATAACCATGACTTATTCTAAAACAGTTCAGTAATGTAAAGAGGTTCTTCGAGAATTCGAGAATTAAAACTAAATCCACAGCAATATAGGCTATGCTTAATGCTGCAAGCGCACTTACTCTATTGATGTCCCTTAATGAACAAGAGTAGGGATTATTTTCATGATCAACTCAAATTGACATACACAAAATGCCAGAGCACTAGTAACGTTCCAATGTCTTACACTATTCTTCTAACTGATATAGACACCATAAATCATTATCCTCCCAAATGGATGCAGGAGCAATACTCCACTCTGCAAAAACTATCAGTTAGTTATATGCGCCACAAAAGTATTTGCAAAATCTCATCGTATTTGGTTGAGAGATACGACCTGCCTCCATTTTTTAATATTTGGGTTCGGGAATGGTCGTCAGATTGTAATGCAAATAGTAGAACAACGTGTTTGATTTTACAGTTAAGGAGACCCCCACTTAATATTTTCAGATGTATTACCGGAACCCACCTTAAGTTGCGCCCATGCGAATTCTCGCTTCTCGCTTCTCGCTTCTCGCTCGCTCGCTCGCTCGCTCGCTGTGTTTTGCCACAGTAAACTGTATTTTGGACGTGGGGGAAATGATGGGCCATCATTCTTTTAATGATAAAGCAGCAGTATTAATTAGACGTACCTATAAATGTCCCTCAACACTTAAAGCATTAAAGTGCCTGTACAGCGCAAATGTGTTATTAACGGTTACTGAAGTCTATATATACCATGGGGAACACGCTTAGAATTTACAAAGTAAGTCTTATAATTGTTCATTTCACTTGAGGGAAAAAAACACAAGTAGAGGCAGTATTCTTGTAAATATAGGTCAATTCATTTCAAGGACTTTTTCTTTATACAACGTATATGTGATTAAGAATAAAACTGTGGTTGCCAATTTTTTTCGGTAATACAAATGTCTTCAAATGAGTGACAGACTTAGCTAGTAGCACTGAAAGTTCTGTTTGTAATGTACATACATATTAAGACAAATGTTTTTTTTTTCTTCCTTTCTTTTTCATGTATTTAGACTGTGAATGCATGGCCACAGGTCGCTAACCTATTTTACCTTTGATATATATATATATATATAAATGTAAATGTTTTTGACTGTATAGATATAATCTGTGCATTCAGTACACTAGCCCTTGTATTTAAAAAGACAAAAAAAAATGGAAAAAAAATGTTCGACGTTAGGTTGAGACTTAACAGGGTGAGCTGGTTTGGAAATGGGTGGCTATTTTGACTTGGTGTTCTGCTCCTTTTCGGTCTGTAACAGATGCCTTGTGTGTGTATGTGTGAAAGCTTGCAATTTCGTCCTTGTTTTGAGGCTTTTCTTCAACACACAAGACACCATGTTGTGATTGGATAAAAAGGGATCATATTGTGTAGTTGATTGAACAGTTATTTTGGGCTGTTCTCTGCCACATATGGACCAGTGAATGATATGATTGTAATTATGAACAGTTTAAACTGACCCACGTTTTTATATAAATATATAAAATATATTACTGCAGGGTATTGATAACGTATAGATACTTTTTTATTATTATTGATTATTATTAATTGCAAGTGATATACGTGAGTGTGTGTGGAAGTTTATAGTTGAAAACAATTCTTGTTTGTTTGTGTTAGCCTATTGTAAACAAGCATTCTGCTGTAAATTTGTTCTTGGTATTAAATTATAATTTATGAATTTGAAATCAAAAGGCTTTCAATGTTGTGTTATTCATTAGCAGACAAATCTGTCTCTTCTATCGAACAGTGAACTCATGCTCTGTCTCAAACTGCTGAAGGTTGGGTTTGCGTATGTGTGTATGAGAGAGAGAGAGAGAGGGGAGAGGGGGGGGTGCGAGGGTGACTCCGAGGTTTGGCATGGGAAATTATCCAGGTTACGTCCAAATTTGGCTATGTAAATACACGTGCAAAGTGTTGCAGCTTAAAGTGTGAAAGCACTTTTGATTCGCCCTCTAACAATTTACTTTTTACACATTAATATTAATCCGTCTTTGATTAAAAAAAATAAGGAAACATCATGTATCATGCCATTCCTACTTACCAGGTATAGATTGTGTGTATATGCGCAGAGGTTCTTGCTCATTGCCTTGTTGGGTATCACTTTCCATTTAAATACATAAAATCTTCTCAGAGCAGGTACTGACACGTCGGAACTGAAGTCGCATGAAATGCAACATTGGACGTTCAATACATGTCAAATGAAATGCCATCTTGTTGTAAACGTGACAAATGACAAAATGCAGACCCACTGTTTGTTCTACCTCGAACGCAGTATTTTATATGTCACATTTGGGGCTATCTGTTAGAGGACACCAAGCGTGTGAAGCTATCCTGTAAACTGCGCCTTCAACTTGGTGTCCTATTAGTTGAGTCAATATGGCGTCTTGCAATTCAACGCAAGCTACGGCTCCCCGGAGCAAAGCGGTGTCTTGTAATAGAAACCACATTGCTAGGAGAAAAGGCCCCCTCAATCGACACCGAATGCCCCCCCCCCCACGAAAAAAAGCTACAGACAGAAACCGTTTTAAAGTTTTTGTCAGGAGTCCAAGAGTCCTAAAATGCAAAGATATGCTTGATATTTTCTTTGTCAATGTAATTAAAACTTACTTTCCTTTTTTACGTAGGGCTATGTAGCCCAATTTAACAAGACCACTGCTAGCTCGTTAGTTTCTCCCTAAAATACAGTAAATTTCCAGATCTCGTTTTACAAATACTACTACTTGGGTATAGCTTTGAGGAAAAAATGGTAACATCCTGACCCCAAATATATTATATTATATCATATTATATATATATATATATATTATATTATATTATATTATTTGACCAGGCGCACTTAGATAAAGTAGCCTAACTTATGATGGCTGAGGGAAAATAGAACGAACAATAATGGCAATCAGACCACTACCACCATTGCTCGTTTCTGTTCAACTGCATAGCCTAATAACAACAACAACAACAACAACAACAATAATAATAATAATAATAAACATTACAGTGTATATTCAATTATTTAAATCTAAATAACCTTTATATTAAATGAATGTATTTAATTGATTTATTAAAGATGATCGGGAAGGCAAGAGTTATAGCGTAATTCTGGTAAGTTTTTTTGTTTCGGGGCTATCGGTAAAGGCCTGTTTAGGTGATTGGAAATGATTGATGGATGTTTGTTATTGTTTTAAACGTGGTCCAGGATGTGTGTTTGATGAGAGCGCTAATGCATGTAGCAGAGGAAGGCTTGTAATTATGACACAGTGATGAGATCTATCAACTACTCGAGATACTAGTAGTAGTTGCTTAACATTGCATGCTTTAAAAAATAATTCCAGTATCACAGACCTTAAGAACACAAAGGTCACAGATCTTAAGTTGTATGGTAGCATATTTTTGTCAAACATGATTTGTCAGTTCCTTCACTTTAAATGCACGTTTTGCTTTGATAGGCTTACCAGAGCAGGTTAGTAGTAATTTGGATCATGGCTTCACAGACTTGATTTTAGTTGACAGAGCGTGTGTTGAGGCTGAACTCTATAATTTGCACTTCTGTTCTTTTATTAGCGTCGGACATCGAACTAATGAGGTCTCCCTCAGTACAATGTCACTTTTATTTATTTCGTCGTGGAAAAAGTACTGTGGGATATGGCTGGCCAGCCGAGCTAACAACAAATGATTTCTAACTGCTTCTCCGTTGATTAACTATCTAGCAGACATTTTAAACTCGTGTAAAGCACGTCGATGTTCTTGCAGATGCGAGGGCTTTGTTTCATAAAGGCATTATTATGTGATGATGTAGGTCCGGCAAAACTGCCTCAAAAATCGTTAGCTACTGTTTAAATGTAAGGTGTTGGCGGTCGCGAAGGGTTGAATTGCTCGTTTACCGCCACGTCTACACTAAATTGCTGATGTTCCTAAAATAATTAAATGTAGGCCCAATTTTAAAAGTTAGCACATAATTATCCGGCCTAACTGTGGTACTGTAGCAAAAAAACACTGTTTGTTTCGGAGGTTTTCAACTTAATTTGAATATCAGGTTAATGGTGACCTGGCCTAGCCCTTACTATGTCTTCAAGCTAAGTGAATGTGGTTTTGTCGATCGGTTATACATCTGTTAGAGGCCTTAGCAAAAGTCATCATAGCTTTTGAGCTATCATATGCTCGCTTGTGTTGTTCGTATGATGAGCTGGACGAAGGAAGAGCCAGCAATTGGTTTCCATAGCGACCTCCAAAGAGCAGCGATAATAAGCAAAGCATAGACCCCCACGCCCTTAGAAAAAAAAGACAATTTAACGTCTGTGTTGTTCCTTCACGCCACTTGAGTATCAACATATTTCTGTTTCATTATATTTATTGCCCCTCATAAGTTTTGCGGAATATAGAGGGGACCTGTCCATAATTCCAGCCCTCAGATTTAGGCTATATCAGTTTATATGAGAAAAACTCTCGTCACGACTTTAGTGTTTTGGCTTTTCAAATAATGAGGTACTTTGGAGAACTTTTGTCTGACGTCGTCTATATATTTGCTGCAAATTGCGTGGAATGGAGCAATTAAACAACAATTTCATGTGGCCTAGTTTAGCACATAAGCGATTTTCTTTCCTTTTTACAACTGTTTTAAGTAAATGCTTGTATTTTCGATAGTCTTCATATTAATAACCATTATATATTTTTTACAAAACCGCCAAATGCACGACTGGGTCAGTATGCCCATTTAATTTTTTATGTATAGCCTATATAATTCTAAACTGGAGCCATAAAAAATACTCGTATTGGTTACCCAAAACATAACATTGCGATGTATGTGCATTTTTGCCTGTCCGTCTGTCTTTGTTATTTTGAATAAAGTGCTTTAAAATAGACTTGCTGCTCTCGGCTCGGTGGGTTCCTCTCTCTAAATGTTAGAAAATTGTGCCATCTACCCGCTATTCACAGAACTGTCACTTCCAGGACCTCCCGAGACCTTGAGCCAACTTTAACACAAAGGGAGAGACTGAGGGGGTTGGTGAGATGCTTCGAAGTGTAGCCTAGTCTGTTCAGTCTGCACTAAAACAAGCATTAAATCAATAACATTGACGACTTTAAGCTTGATATATTATTTTAGTATAACTTACAACGTACCAAAGTAAGGGGAGGGATTACTTATATCACTGCATAAGACTATATAAACCCATTGGACATCCCATCCCCCATTATATTTTTTAAAAACATTTTTCCCAAAACATTTTCGGTTGCTCCATTCATACAATAATGTGTCAAATCCTTGAGGGTGAAGAATGTTCGGCTATTTTTATTACTACTTAGATCACATTATAATCTATGAACTGACGCAGAAGACATTAAACGCAATAAACAATTCTTGTTAGTGTAATAATGGTTACTTATGCTGTTTATAATAATATTTCCGTTTTGTCACACATACGTCTTTCTGTAATGAAACATCACAAAGTCTGTGAAGTTTTTCTCTTCCACCGATTTGTTGGGAGAAAAGGAGCAGGTCACATAGGCCTACTGATCTTTAGCACAGTTTCAAATGGACGGGTTAATTCTTGTTTCATTCATTAGCATTCCCAGGGCACGGGTTGTCTCAGACATCTGTCTAGTATACTACACGTCTTTACAATGACTTCCATTCAATGTTTCTTGAGAAAAACTTACATCCTGAGCGTTTTACGTTTTGGTTACCTTCTTGCGCTAAATATTCGGTAGGTTTTTAGACGATCAGTGTGTATTAACCTATTTTCGTCCCTGTTTAAGCTACTTCAAGTTAAGAACTGGGGTAAGTGAAATAGGCCTACCGCCGAAAGGGGGAACATAGATGGGTTAATATTAAAGAAACAAAAAGTGACAATTGCACCAATGCACATTTTATTTAAGCTACAAAGGGGCACGCTGCTTACAATTTACTGCCCCCCGTCGATAACATCCTGATTATTTTCCGACTGAGAAATGCCTGAATTTAAAGACTTAGACATATAAGGGTAAAGAGGAAAACACAACGAAAAGCGACATAACGTCAACAAAAGTTG